ATTCATCATATTAAATATTTAACAGGTAAATATTACCGATTTTGAACGCTAATCACCCATGGCTTTCACCACCGTCGAAAATGGAGGATTATCGTTTGTAAGAGAGTTCACGGTAGCGCAGAACCATCACTCTTTTCTGGCACCATCGAAGATAATATCAAAGTAGGAAACATTGATGCAAGTGATCAACAGATCTGGGCTGCAGCAACGATGGCGAATGCACATACTTTTATCTCCCAACTTCCGAATCAGTACTTAATGGAGTTCATCCGCCTAGTCTCTGATCACTCACTCTACAAATCTTGTTAAGTTCATTCCATGCCATGTGAGAATCAGAAAATAAATGATCATTTGTGGTTGAAATGGAATGCATGTAGGCTTAAGGGAGTGCAGCTATCAGGAGGGCAGAAACAAGAATTGCCATAGCAAGAGCTGATCTAAAGAATCCTCCAGTTTAGTCTGAAAAAACAATTAATTAATTTTAGATAAAATTTTGGGTATGACAGTTACTCAATATGTTAAGGAACTGTTCGATCAAAGTCCTGAGAGAGACCTGGTGTCTTGGACCACCCTTATTCAAGCTTTTGTTAAAATGGGTTTTGCTAAAGAAGCCATTCGGGCTTACTTTGATATGTGCAGAGCAAATTTACAACCCGATAAGAGGACGCCGGTTGTCGTCCTTTCGGCTTGTTCTAGATTAGGAGACTTGAGTTTAGGCACCCGGATTCATGAGAATATATGCGATGTTTTCGTTGGTAATGCATTGGTTGATGTGTGTATGAGGTGTGGTGATGCGGTCTGCGCACGCCAGTTGTTTGAGAAAATGCCTGTGAAAAATGTGGTTTCTTGGAATTACATGATATCTGGTCTAGTTCAGCAAGGACAATTTACGGCAGCATTGCATGTTTTTCATGATATGCAAGGACTAGGTGTTAGGCCTGATAGTGTTACTCTTGTTTCCGTTTGAATGCGTTTAGTAATCTTGGGAAGCTCGAGTTATCGATAAAAATCAAATCAAATCAATGCAGATGGGTTTATAGGGAATGCGTTGGTGGGTATGTATGCTAAGTGTGGAAGCACAGAACAGGCTTTCGGTGTGTTTCGAGGAATGGAATGCAAATATGTCTTTTCTTATACTGCCATGATCGTTGGATTCGTGATGCATGGAGAAGCCGAGAGAGCATTGGATATCTTTGCAGAGATGCGTGTGGTGGGCATCAAACCGGATGAAGTGACATTCGTCGGTGTTCTTTCAGCATGTAGTCATGCAGGAATGGTAGGTGGGGGTTGGAGACACTTTGAAGACATGTCGACAGTTTATAATTTGGAACCTCAAACGGAGCACTATGGTTGTATGGTTGATCTTTTAGGCCGTGCTGGACTAATACACGAAGCAGAAGAATTTATAGCAAACATGCCAATTGAGCCTGATGCATTTGTTTGGGGTGCATTACTAGGAGCTTGTAAAATTCATGGAAAAGTTTAGCTTGGGGAAACCGTGATGAAAAACTTGTAGCTATCGAACCTGAAAGAGATGGGGGATAAATACTCATGTCGAAAATCTATTTCTGCAAATAGATGGAAAGATGCGCTAAAATTGAGGAAGGCAATGAAAGAAAGAAAAATGAAGAAGGCTCCGGGATGTAGTTTGATTGAAGTCGATGGCATTGTTCACGAGTTCCGGAAGGGAGACAAATCACACCCTAGAAATGAGGAGTTAAAGAAGTTGCTGGCAGAAATTGCAATTCACTTACAGAACCATGGTCAACTTCCTACTAGCAACTTTATAACTCGATACAGCTTGCGTAGATAGTGGAAAAACAGTGGCACGGAGGCGTATCTGCTTGGCTTTCTCACAAGACTGTGTTCTTCAAATAAGCTGCAGGTTGTGAAAAATGTGTTTAAAATCACATGTATAAGATGCCTTTAAAGGTAACAAGTTTCTCATTTTTCTCCTTTAACAATGATATGACACCCTCATACTTCTCATATAAGATGCCTACAAAAGATCACGAGTTTACTCATTCTTCTGTCAAACAAAGACCGTAAGATCGAGAGGCTCCAAGTTCTGTAATGACAAATGATGTTAAGCTTTCCAATGATTCTTAAGTTACTAAAGTGTATGCTCAATGGGGTCCGTAAATGGTTTTGTGTATTGTTCAGAAAACTTGTTGCATGTACACTTCTTCAGGTACGCCATCGCACAAATGCATTTTCACATCAAGCTGACGTCAAAGTAGGCCATTGGTTATACTATGGAGAGAACTGAGAACAATGATGCAACTCTTTGAAAAAATGGCCATTTTTTTAGTTACCTAGTGAATATGAAGAAGAATAAGTTTAATCACACGAGTCAAAAGTTTTCGATGATGTCATAGAATAGTGAATTTTTTTTCAATTTTTTCAATGAAATTTTGATTTACTCGTATTTGAAGACAACAATCATCTCCTTAACCACCGAAGTCGCTTGATTCGTATACTTTTTTTTGAACCTTCTCAATTACCGCTTAAGATCATATGTGTTAGTATAGGAACCCGAGTTAATAATTTGAACCTTCGAGATTCAATAGATATGATCAGTTGCGGATCTATGTTTATGTGACGGTGCGCACTGGACACGTGTCCATCTTGAAATCTGAATTTTCTTCAATAATTATTTATTTTATCAATTGTATTCGCCTTGAAATTTTATTTGTGCACATTTTGTGTAAAAATTTTATGACGTTGATATATATAATTATATACGTATCCATCCTAATTTTTTTTTTGAAATCGGTACTAGATATGATATATACATTGCAACAACACAACTATTTCTACAAAAGCAAATAGTGGACATAAAGAAATTGTTAAACATAAATGTGGGGTAAAAAATTGGTCCTAAAGTATTTTTTTGTCAAAATAAGTACATATAGTATTCATTTTTTTTCATCCAAGTACCTAAAGTATTCTTTAATTAATGTCATATGTCAACTTTTTTAGAACTTAGATGAAAAAGTTTGAGTAGTTTAGGTACCTATTTTGACATAAAATACTTTAGGTACTTATTTTCACTAAAAATATAATTTGATATATTTATTTTTGATCAAAAATACTTTAGGTAATTAAATAAAAAATAAAGTATACTTTAACTACATATTTATGATATAAGCCTTTAAAAAATTATAAACGTAATGTGTGATATGTAAAATTATAACTTTGAAAAATATTAGACACCCAGTTTGATTAAAAAAATATTTAGACATCTAAAATTAACAATTTTTTGTATTAATTTTTTAATTAACCCAAAAAGAATGTACGTGAGAAGAATCCTTTAGCACTAAGTATTTTTGGTATAATGTCACAAAAAAAACATAACATTTAATTAAATAGTCATATTAAATTCTATACTTTTTTTAAGTTCTAACCCTAACATTTTATTTTAGGTAAAAAGAACCTTCTACAGACGGAAACTGTTAGTTAACAAATTAACGCTTCAAATTAAGAGTCTTTTACCTTAAAATGAAACATTGAGGATTAGAATGATCTAAAAAGGAAAAAAGAGCCAATGTAATTAGTCTATCAAACTTTAGAGGCCTTTTTATCCTAAAATGAAACTTTGTGTGTCAAAATACTAAAAAATAGGGGCCAAATGACATTTTTGTAAATATTGGGAGTTAATTTTAACATTCTGCCTATTAAAAAATATTTGTATCGTTTGACTAAATAATCATTTTGATTCTTTTTTATTTTAGAGTATTTAGGCCTCTAACTTTTCGTTTTGGGAAAAAATACTCCTATGTGAAATGAAAACCGTTAGTCAACAAAGGGTTGACGCTCCAAAATAGAAATACTTCACCCTAAAATAAAATGTTAAAGGTTAAAACGCTAAAAACAAAGGTTAAAGCATTATTTAATTAAATGATATATTACTTTTCATCTTAAAATGAAATATTTTGAATTAAAATATTAAAAAAATAATAGAGATAAAAGTAAAAATACAGTGAAATATTAAAAGTGTTTATTAATATTATACCTTAATAGAAGCAGCTCGAGATTAAAACAAATAACCATTTGCATGAAGCAATCACCAGCCTGAGTGGGGAAGCAACGGATCACATTAGCAGTGTTTCCTCTCCACAATGACTTGATTTTTAAATTTAGTCGAATTAAAAAATTTGATTCGAATCGACTCGATTTAATTTTTTTTTAAATTAAAGTCGAGTTATAAAATAGAATTCAAATAACTTCAAATTTTTAGTCGATTGATTTTTAAGTTTGAGTCGAATCCCTCAACTATATGATTACTTATGTTACATATGAAAAATATGAAGATGGTGTTTTTAAAGTTTATTTTAGGTTTTAATTTGATACATCTCCGTTTAAAAAATAAAAGGGTAAATTACGTGTTTAGTATCTAGACTATCAATTTTGATCCGTATTAAGTACATAAACTTTCAAAATTTTAAAACTATATCTAAAGTTTAATTTTTGTTTCACTTTAGTACCCGATAGTTAAAAGCTTCATTTTATTACCCTCATTCAAAATTTAACATTAAATTTTAAAAAAAATTAAAGTTTAGGAATTAAACGGGCCAAATTGATACTTTAGATACTAAATATTAAGTTTTTAACAGTGGGTACTAAATAAAATGAAACTAAACATTAGCTATAATTTTAAAAAAATTAAAAGTTTAGATACTAAAAATGATTAAAACCGATAGTTTAGATATTAAATACGTAATTTATCCAAATTAAAACTATGGACATGATTTTTTTTAATGATCATACGACATTACTTTAAGTTGACGCCACTGTTAGATAGGATTTTGTAAAGAAATAATGTTTGAGTACTAAATTAGGACAAAAATAATAGTTAGATTACTAAATATGCAGTTTAACCAACATGAGTTATGTTTCAATAATAAACAGGTTGATATTACTAAAACAGTGTTTTAATTCTTGTAAAGATTTATATAATAAGATTCACTCGTCAAAATTAAATATAATATATAGGTATGTCTAAATTAATCAAGTTAAAATCTTGGAGAACGGCAACAAAAAAAGGAAAAAAGAAAAAGAAGTGCTCTGCAGTCTTCACTGGCCGACACAGGTATGTGCTTACACTTTCCATCCTCATATAACTTATCTCCTTTAAATCTTCTTTAAATTTGTTTGATTGATTTCCTCTTCATTGTATTGTCCGCATCAATTTCTTTTCAAATCGCAGTGTGTATTGAGATAAGAAGTAACGTATTCGATCTCATTCGAAGAATCTGTTTCGTCCTCTCTGTCAGATCTGAAACCTTAAGGTATGAAGAAACTCGATTACCCAATTTTAATCTTTGAGATTAGGTTGATGATATTTATTCCCTGTTGTTGTTGTTCTTTCTCTTGTCGTCTCTTTTGGATTGTTCTATAGGGTAAATTTTAACAGATCTAGCTAAACAAATTTTATCCGCCTAGAATTTGAATGAATCACTGTTAAATTTGACCAAAAATTACAGATCAAGTTGGTCAGAACCAATTTTTGCTAGTGAATGTGATTTGCTTTCCGATCGTTGTAGGTTTGAAAAGGGAGGCTCTTATTTCCAATTTTTGGAGCTTTCAATTGGAAGATCTAAATGCAAACTGTGAGCAAATTGCAGGAGGATTAAGAGACACCAATGAAAGGATGTTTTGATGGCTATTATCTAAATTTTAAGCCTTGATATCAACTTGACAACAATGTTCAGAACGAAGCCAGCATAATTGGAGCCTACGGGATGGGTGGTGTAGGAAAGATGTTATGTGTGGTTTGTAATTTTACAAGTCTACAAGTTAGAGAGTCAAAGTGATGGTTAAAACTAATAAGAATTCAAGTTCAAATTTGATATCATTAAAGAATTCAAGTTTGATTTTGCTACTATCAAAAAAATTTAAATTGACAAGTTGGCAAATTGTTTAAAAATGAGATGAAAAAAATACTCATTTGGTCTCTGAACTATTATATTATTTATAAGTTTAGCCATAGAAATTTAACTATAAATAAGTCTAATCATCTACATTTGAAATCATCTCTTTCATTTGTTTTTTCTTTATTCTCTCACTCTCTAATATTTTAGAAATTATAAGGAAGTCCATTTGTTGTAATATTTTTTGATATTGAAGTTATTATCCGTTGTGATGCTCGAGGAGTAGATGATATTTCTTTGAACCTTGTAAATTTTGTATGTTCTCTCCATTATTGTGATTAATTGGATTTTTTTCATTATGTTTCAATATTCAATAGTTTGACATGTTTATATGTTGTGTAATTTTGATAGTTTAAATCTTAACGTTTTAGATCAATTTTGAAACTATGTTCGGGTGATAAATAACTCGATTTTCTCAATAATTAGTATTAGATTTTCGATTGAGGTTGTCTTAGTGGTCTTGCTACTAAAAATATTGGCGTTTTTACCCAAAAAATATCCTAATATTAAATAAATCCCGATCAAACACCCTTTGATCAAATATTTCCTATCTAGCACCCTATTAGGGAGAGAGAAGATAAGACGCATTTGGTGAAACACGTCTATGCTTGTGTGGCCCTAAGGCGCGTCTACATCTAGTCAGCGCCCAGTCAGCACTCCACGTAGAAGGTGTGTTTGGTGAGGTGTGCTTTGCCCGGGTTTTGGAAGGTGCATCCCTTGGGGCACGCCTTTCCCCTCCCCCATATAAAACCCCTACTTCAATTAATTGATTGAAATATACATAAAAAAAGACTCGTTGCAGGGAATGGTTTTCCCCTTTTTTTTCAAAGAATATCTGTCATAATTTTCTAAGAGGCTCGTTCAAGGGGAAGGGATTTCCTTTTTTTAGAGAGTCCTTACCATGTTATAGTGTCTCATCTCCCTAAACATAATTGACGAGAATAGTTCCCTAACTCTCAATCTCTTAAACTCTTAAATTCTCAAACTCTCTAACTTTGAAACTATCACTCTCTCAAACTCTCAAATTCTCAAAATGGCTCCTATTTCAGCTGTTGTTTATTATGATGGAGAAATTCAGGAAGATGAGTTCGGGGTTGTTTTCTGATCATATCATTATATCCTCATTATCTTTAAGAGAGAAAACAATATTGAGGAATTAATAACAAAAATATGAAGGAAGACTCGTGTTGGAAATACTAAAAGACTGTCTAAATTTCAATACAAATTTCCAACTGAAATTCAGACTCCAGAAAAGATAGGTTTCAAAGCTTTTGGTATAACGGGAGTAAAGATTTGGATGACCTAGTTCTTTAATGCACACGTTTCTAATGGTATGATCATTTGGGTCGGGATTAAGATTAGGGATTGGATTATGAGGAGGTTGACTCAGGATGAAGAAATACAAGTACATTTGGACATTATAACATCGAAATAGAGAACCTACAAAAGAGAACAATATATATTTATGTTATCAATCAATTCCAATACTGATATAAATTCATAATTTGTAGATATATATAATACTTTAAGATGCAAATTGGTATAAATAACATAATTTAGTGGTAATGGTGCATTTAAACTTATTTATAATATATATACATAAGAGTGCATTTAAATTATGTTGTTGGATCGCATCACCAGATTAATGTTGTGGAAGGTAGAGGTATAAAAATTTGTAAGAGCTCTCTTATTCTGATGAAAGGACATATGAAGATTATCAAGTTTTATATTCTGCAAGGTTTAACAATTATAAAAGATGATATATTATTTTCTCCCTCGTAGAAAAGGAGGATTTTGTGTTGAACAAAATGATCGTAGGCATAATGGTTTTTGAAAGCATAAAAGAGTTCTATTTTTTGGGCATAACAAATTTGAGAAAAAAAGAGTTTGATTCTGTGGGTATAACAAATTCGAGAAGAAAAAAATTCAGTTCCATGAGCATAATAGAAAAGATAGAATTATCATTGATGTTCGAAATGGGGTTGTGCATGATATTCTTGTAGTGAACAAGTTTGTAAGCACATTTAACACTTATGATTTCTTTATCGATGTGAAGACTTACTCCAAGTTTGGACAAGCTTTGGATTCACTTGACAATCATTTTTGAAGAATAACCCCTCTAAGGGGTTTCGTGGAATAAGTGAAGAATATGTTCTCAAGGTGGAGAGCTTGTTAGTTAAAGTGAAAAATTGTTTTTGTTGAGTTTGAGTCTCTCATCAAATTTGGATATTTCGTCTCAAAACCTACTTTGAGTAGATTTTTGCTTTATAAGTTTCCTTTGTAATCAACTATACTTCGAGTAAAATCTTACTTTATAAGGATTAGGGTTAGAGATTAGGTTGTTCATGAGGACTCCTCTTGTTTTCTTCTTCTCTTGACATTAGTGAATGTTTTCCTCAAGCTCAAAAAGAATAATTTTTGAACTTTGATCAAGGGGATTTGAGAGGGTTTACAACGGAACAATTTTAGAATTAAAAATAAAATGAAAATTTTAGGAATTTCATCTATTTTAGATCTAAAGTTGACCAAAAGTATCAGTACTCTAATAATGTGTATAGTACTCCTTAATAATGTGTATCTTAAGAGAGAGCCACATTAAATACGAGGATTACACCCTCCCTCGAAAAAGTAAATTCAATTGTAGATTAGGTCTCTAAAGATTTTGAAATTGTTCAAATTAAGTTATTCTCTCTCAAATTTTTGAGGGTTTTTACTTCTAATGTCCCTGAAGATTTAGAAGCTATAAAAATTAAGCCATGCCCTCTCATAAATTTTTAGGTTTAATTACTTCTAAAGTTCCTATTGGTTTTGAAACTAGACAAATTAAGTTATAATCTCTATTTTATAATATAAATACGGCTTAGGTCTTTATTAATTTTCCTATTAGGAAAAATAACAAAAAAACTCAATGTTTTCGTTTAAGTATTTCTCAAATTTCTGTCAATTTTAAATTTAATCAAATTAAACCTTAACCCCCCCCATTTTTAAATTTTGACTTAAAAAACAGACCATCCATTTTTATTACTATTTACAATTTGCCCCCTAATCTACCATTCTTGCTCCATCATTGTGTTTATCCTTCATTGCCAAAAGTGTTATTTATTTGTATTTTTTTTTTCAATGAATTGTTTAGTTGAGTTTTTAATTTTTTTTGTATATGTCTTATTTTTATAATTCGACATATAGTTTATTCTTTGATGGTTATGGAGCTTATAAACTTGTTTTATATTTCTCTTTATTGATTCAATAAATTAACTATGATTATTATTTAAAAAAAAACTATTTTGATATATATCGGTTGACAATGAGAACAACGGTCGAGGCCTAAGGTTATAGGTCCAAGGTTCACTATGTATAAATTTAAGCATGTGTGAGATTTTAATCCATATTTATTTTGGTTTAAATTTGATTATATGATTTTTATTTAAAATTATTATGGTCTAAATTTGGATATATTTTGATTGCCAGTCTATATATTTATACTGGTCCCGGTCCAGACGTATAATTGAGTGCTTAAAGGTAAAATTATGCTACAGTAAAATAGAGAACTTGATTATAATCTTTATAACTTCGTTAAGCATAAACTGGATACAAGCACACACACACGTGCAAAGGATCTTGGCCTAGGGTAGAGTTCTTGAATTCTTTACTTGTCTAGCATGTTGAAGTCAATTGTTTCCAAGGGTTGAAATTCTATCCCACATGACTCTTGATTTGAACTTTTCTGTAGCAATTTTCTTTTGTAACAACTATCCATTGCTTGAGGACAAGCATAGTTTAAGTTTAGGGAAATGATAACTCCGTAAAAAAAGTTATAATTTTTTTGTCTTTCTACTTAAGTTATTGACTGTCTAAAAGCAATTTCCATAGCATTTAGTTGCATTTAGGTCATATTATTGCATGTAGTGGAAAAGTTTGACTGCAGCGTAATTTTATTGTTAAAACTGATGCTACTGAATGGAAAGGTCTTATGGTTATGGTGTTGTGCAGGTGAAGAAAGCAAAGAAAAAGAAAAGATTTGTTGTGGTATTTTGGATAAGAATATCTGAAGGATTGATAAGCTGATCGAGAGAAAATATTGCTACAGCATTTTTAGATAGAAATTTTGGGAGTAGAAAAAGACAAAATAACAAATATATCAAGTTGCCAGGCTGTTTAAGCCTCACATGGTTGCACTACAATGATGACATTTTTTGGACCACTTGCTAGCCTACCTCATATTCAGGTGAAGGGCATGAATCCTAGGGTACAAAGGGAATTTTTTGGTCCAAAACCCTAGAAAATTCCCTACTATAAATACCTAAGGATACCATGTATTTTAGAGGACTTTTGTGAAGTGACTTAAATAAGGGAGACGGTAGCTCACGAACCCCTATTTTTCTTCTTCTTTTCCTCTTTTTCCGTGGTGTCCTCCATAGTTGAGCTTCAAAGAGGTAAAAACTAGGACCTTAAGAGAGGCTAGCTCGCTAAGGAGGTTCTCGAACATGGTTCTAAGAGTCACTATAACAACTCATTTGGGAGTTTTCATTCTCTTTGTGCTTTCATTTCTTTATTTTATATGGGTTTGTACTTAACGTTGATGATAGATGAACTTAGCCCAGCCATGAACTAATTTGTTTAGCGTTGGGTTTGCTTTGAATGATTTTTATTTTGTGTTAATGAATGGTTGAAATATTTTTATGTTTAAATGTTGTTTTGCTCATTTTTTATATTTTAAATCCTTAGTCTAGTAAAAGCTTTCAAGAGATAGTCATTTTCTAAGTATAAATGCCTAATATCGAGAGAGTTAGGCTAGATCGACGTGAGCAAGGGAGCTTGTTGAGTTAATCGATTGACGGAATCGGCCAAGAGGGGGGTGAATTGGCAATTAAAAATTTCGGTGGAAGCTTTTGCAGAAAA